AGGCTTGATCTTTTGCGATGTCTAGTTGTAATACATCAAACCAAGCTTCTACACCATGATATGGACCATTGTGTGACCTTACTCCAGCAATCTACCAAAAGTGAATGTTTATAGTGACCATTGTGTGGCATGTGTGTATGTATATATATTAAAAAAATATCATATAAGAAAATGTAAAGTCCAGGACTATCAGCTTTAAGGTCCAAAAATATGTATATATATATATATATATTAAGAAAATATGCATAAAAGAAAAAAATTGAATGTTTTACATGTGTTCCAGGACTATCAGCTGATAGCGGATGGACATGCTTCTCGGCCAAAACTTGAGCGTTGGTGATGAATTCTTTTGTATTTCTCCATACAGGAATGGTCCCATCTGGACATGGTATTGTCTGTTTTTGTACGTGGTTTATGCCAATTTGACTTTTTGATTTAGTCCTTGAAACTGATGGTTTCATCTTCCAAAAGAAAAAAAAACATTAAAAAAGGTGAAGATATATTCATGTTAAAAATAAAAAATGTATGTAGGAGACCAATTTTTAAAACCATGCACCTGGATTGTATGGTTTTTGAGTAAGGGATGATCAAGTCCTGATTGCATATTAATATCTATGCAATCATATGTTACATTTTCACCTATCTGCAAATGAAAAAAGATGCTGAACTCAATACATGATATAAGCAAAACGATGATGACTTAAATAAATATATAAAATAAGAAAAACATGTGTGTCTAACGTTTATGTTTTAAAGCTGACCTTGAAGGATCTGAGAGGCATGGTACTTTGATCGGAATGAACTAAGACTCCAAAGGATAAAAGAGATAAGAGATTCATAACTAAAGCCATCCTAGTTCCTTTCGACATTTTTTGTTGTGTTGTGCCTTAAAAACTGAGAATGCTCTGTTATATATATACACAGTCAAGGAATGCACGTTAATTATAATTACGTTTTGTTCTTTTTTGGTAATACGTTATTATACGTTTCTTTATTTACAACTTTTGAATATTGTCACAATCAATATTCCCAATTATATTTTCACTATAATCAAGCAATATCTAACCATATCGTGCCTAATTAAGCGTGACTCACCAAAAATCTAATCTTCCTAATTAGATACATTTTTGTTATATGACAATCGATTAATATTAAAAATATATATATATTCTAAACTAGATTCTAAATCAGGAATATCTAAATATTAAATGTCGAAATAAGCGTTAAAAATCACCAATAAAGAATAGTCTTAATTATGTTATGTTTCTGTTATATGGCAATCGATTATTCTTAAAAAGGAATATCTACTCTATTAAAATATAATCACTTTTTTATCTACTATAAACAAGTCTATGTAGAACCATTTTATTAATTACTTAATATGACATATTTTCATTAATCAATCAAATATATACCAAATATATCTATTTAAATTTTATTTTAAGTTATAACAAAATCAATTGAGAAAAAATCTAACAAAATTTTACTAAAAATTCAAATATAATTTTATAAAATAACACAATCATTATTTTCGTAATTAATAATATAATACTATTATATACTAATAATTTTTTTATTATAAAACAAAAATTAAAATTCTGTCATATTTTTATAATTCCATATTATAGTCTATATTATGTTAAAATATAATTACTCTATGAATTAAATAAAATAGATAAATTTGGTAAATTGCTATAGAATACTTAATATGACATATTTGATTATTTACATTAATCAATAAAATATACACCAAATATGCTGGAAAGAATAGATTTAAATTTTATTTTAGTTATAAGAAAATGGGCAATTGACCAAAATAGCCCATTTCAAGTTTTTATCACAAAAAGAGCCTCAGAAGGGAAAAGTCACAAATAGAACCTTCATTAAAGAGAGAAATGTCCACACTGCCTTTGTTTTGTGTTTAACAAAAAAAGCTTCCAAAAAAAAAAACACATTTCTTAGGGCTTTCTCTTCTCTTCGACGACGATTCTCTTCCGTCGCCTCCAATCTCGCTCTTCCGTCACCTCCAATCTCGCTCTTCCGTCGGCTCCAATCTCGCTCTATCATCTCCGACGAAGCCAAGGAAGGTTCGACGACGCAATTTCGGTACGATTTTTCTTCTTAGGCTATTTCGGTACGGTTTAAGGATTTTGATTTGTTGTTCATACTTTTGTTGTTCGCCTCCTTTTATTTTAGTGTGTGATGGTGCTTTAGTTCTCTTG